GGCTCTGACTCAGCCCAGGTCTGCCTCATTCAAATTCACACAAACACACACACACACACACACACACACACACACACACACACACACACACACACACATACACATATTTCGCAGAGGCACATAGAAAGACACACATGGACTATTCATCCCTTCACTTTAGATTCATTTCCTCTTTCGAGTTTCTGTTCTATTTTATTCTATGGTCTTTTATTCTGTTCTTTTTCTTCACCCTGACCAGTCAGCTCTGCTCCACTCCAATTATTTACTTATTACATATTGCTGTTAATGAATGTACATATTGCTGCTAATAGATTTTTGATACAGCATGTGAACAAGGCCACGGTGTAAGTAGCAGGTAATTGAAGAATTAGCATAACACTCTCCAGTACACTAGCTCTTTGACATTGCTCTGCAGCAGTGCCCCCTAATGGCCAGAGGGTGACATTTACGGACGCCCCTTAACTGATAGCTGATGGTTGAGCTTTCCTTGAAATCAATAAAGCAATCAAAATCTAATCAACTGCTACAATGAAGAGCAATTAGAAGAAAGGGAAAGACACAGAAAGTCTTGTCATCATGTTGAGCTGATGGACGCAGATGCTTAACATGCAAATCAGACATTTGATGGTTTCATAATTTAGCCTAATTTAGAGCTTGGTGTGTTTTGATAGTGAGCGCTTTTATAACCCCTGATGCAGCAAAGAAAAAAACAAACTGGGATAATGCCCCAACATCTCATTACACATGTGTACTATTTAATAGCATATGTATAACAAAGTCAGATCACTCCATGCAACACAAGGCATGTCTCAGCATCATTAATACCAATCCAGCGGTATCCCAATTCAGGAGGTTCCCTTTTGAGGTATGTTTTCGGGGTGCTGTGAGCTGTGTAAGCCTGCTATTTGTGCGCCTTTCATTCCTCTTACCTGGGGGACAAGCTAGCTCACGCATGTGTCAGTTTGCTGTTATTATTTCCATATGCTCTCACTTAAAACGGCTGGCTAATCCTCGGTCACACGCCAGCAGCGCGCCCAGGATTATCTGTGTTTGTTTTCTCACGCGAAGGAGAGATTGTGTTAATCTCCTCAGAGGGAAAAAGAGAGAGAGAGAGATGGAGAGAGACAGAGAAAGAGAAAAAGAGAGACCAATGTCTTGCTCACAAGTTGGGGGGAAAAAAGGAAGACATGGGACATCTGAGAGAGAAATAAGACAGAAGACAACAGACAAGTGACAGAGGGAAGGGAAGGCGGCAGATGAAGAACAAAGTCAAAAGGGAGATTTAGAGTCTTTGTTCTCTCAACTCTGCAGTTGTGCTTGTTGGCAGAAATGTCCAAAGCTGCGTTTGTCATCAGACAAATGTGATGTATGATCTTGATTTAGAATGCACAAAACCAAGAAAGAACTCAAGCTGCCAAGGACAGCAGGGCGCCGAACACACACTAGCATGCACACCGCAGACGTATACACACCCTGTGGTGCACAAGCACACATTCTCCTAGGTGAGCTCAGGTATGCATATGTTCCCTCGCATTCAGCCACATTTACAGATTCTTCTTATTCTCCATCAATTACAGAACAGTCAGGGGGAAGCACCACCTCTGTGATTTGAAGCCTCGCCCCACAGTGATATACAGTTACTGTAATGCATGCACATGCACGTGCACACACACTCACTTTTGTCAATCGAGTATGTATGCCTGTGGGTTGGGCTCTTTGAGTAGAGATGTATTATGTATCACCAGTCTAGCATGCAGGTTAGCTAATTAATTTCTGCTAACTGTGAAGCGAATTTAAAAGGGAAATTGTATGGAGAAATTTGAATTTCAAAACAGAACACCGCATGGCAGGACAGCAGAAGGTTACACTTGTAGAGTGTGTGTGTGTGTGTGTGTGTGTGTGTGTGTGTGTGTGTGTGTGTGTGTGTGTGTGTGCAAGAGGAGGCCAACATTAACTAGAGATAGAGCTGGAGAAGCTCTAGAACTAGAAGCTGGAACCAGTGGATTCATGGCATTTCGACCTTATAAATCACTTAAAGCAGCATCAAAGTAGTTCTGTTGACTGTACGAACAAATAATCACCTATAATTGAAGCACTTGCATGTATGAATAATATCAGCATTTGGTCATGTGATAGAAAATGTGTAGAACAGTTGAAATATTACACAATATGTTTAAAGAGTAACTTAATACTAAATCATTTTTTTGAGTCAGTAAATCACATGTAGGCTACAGTCACTTTATTGCCCTGGGTTCAATTCTGTCCTCTAGACCCCCTTAAATGTGTGAAAAATGTATTATATACTGTGGGCCTCTATTATGAGGCAACATGACAAATAAATAAAGAAATAAGCTCTCAGCACTGTGGATAGTGTGGAGTTTGACAGAAGGAAGATTGACAGCATGCAGCTGAGAATAGCAGTAGCACAAATACTGCCTCTACTTCTTGTAAGTTAGTAGTATACAGCGTTGACCAGTGTTCTTTAAGGTGTGTGTGTGTTTCACAGGAGCCACTAGAGCACTTGCGTGTGTGAAAACATTTTTGAGGAACGTGCCCAAGACAGAAAAACACAAAAACATAGAAAAACAACAGTTAGGTCGCTGTGTGATAAGTGCTTCCTGTAAGGGAGACTGAGAGAGAAGGATGAGTGTGTGTGTTGTGGTTTGTCAGAGCTGGCGCCCTGTCGCACACACACTAGAGGGAAAAAGATGGGTTGGAGGTGGGTAGCGGGGTGGGTGATGAAGTGTGTGAAGGAGGGGGGAACGGAGTGATGGAGTGCTGGATGGAGGGAGGGCGGGGGGTGATGAGTGTGTGCTCACAGTGTAAGTGACACCTCTCCTCCTCAGACAGATTGTCTCTCTCTCTCTCTCTCTCTCTCTCTCCCTGTAACGGGGACCCCGTTAGAGAACCTTCTCCCTCCATCTACACGTCTAAACCCCCCTCTACACACACAAACACTCACTCTCACACACACTCTCCATCTTTGCAGACAATTCTTCTTGTTTATTTATTTTTCCTGTAGAGATATTCCCCAAATTGCTTACATTTCCAAGACTTTCAATTTGCCCTTTTCTCTGCATAATTTTTAATCAATCTTCACCTCTTTCTAAAACTGCTGATTTTCTGTAAAGCCGTTTACTCTGGTTTACAGCTCAGAGAGAGGGAAGAAAAAAGATGGAGAAATGGAAAAAGAGAGATCAGAAAGGAAGGAGAGAGCGCAAGCGAGAGGATATCAATATTCCCTCTGCCGCTGGGATCCTCGCAATGATTTTTTTTTACCGTGTTTGAATCTGACAGCGAATATTCTCAACATGGCTCTCTGTGCCAATCACACTGAGATGATTCATATGCACACTTACTTTAAGGCCACACTCATACTGACAGAGGATCTGAGGACACATGGGCCTGAAAGAACCACTTGTACATGCATACAAGCCCACACACACACACACACACACACACACACACACACACACACACACACACACACACACACACATACATACACAAATACCTCAAACAGGTATTTTGAACCAGACTCAAACATGTTGCTTTCCTGAAATTTAATCAACAGCAGGAGAATGTCAGTGTGTGTGTCTGTGTGTGTGACAGTGGATGTATGTGATTACCTGTGCCCCTGCCCTCGCTAACAATCATCTCGGCAAACCCGATCAGAGGCTATCTCATCGCTTCAGAGCCGGCAAGCTGGTGGGAGTATGGCACGCAATCACACGGACACCTCAGACAAATAGGCTTCATAACTTCTCTGTAACAAACAATTACTGGGGCCTGAGCCTCTATCCCAAATGAAATCTCCTCTACCTGTGTAGATGCAAGGATACAAAGGAATTTTTGCCGCTTCTCACAGCCAGGTCTCCATGGTGATAGTGGAGTCGCCATGGTGATGGAGATGATAAACAAGGGAAGCGTTTTTATGAAAAACTGTGTGGTTTTGTTTTCAATTTCAAATCTGTTGTTTATGGCAATTATTTGTGGACATTGCAGCTATGCAGGGAAGCAGACGATCTGTACTACTTTTAAATTAACTCCGAATCCATGCTGCATGTTCACAAAAACAACTTTGTCCAAGTTTCACTCCCACAATGTTTCACAAGGGCTAAAACTACTCCTACCAACATGTTTGTAACATTCAAAGAAAACTCTACTATTACCTGCCAGGTACCCACCAACACAGTTCCAAGTGTGTTGCCAACACTGCAGCACCAAACAATGCTGGAGTTAGATAAAATGTTCATTGCAAATACCCCAAGTACTGCATGCCTACATCCATCTGTGCTGCATGAAGATAGCAGCACTAATCTTACACAACTCCTACAGCAACATTCAACTTTCTGGCAGTTAACCCAGCAGCTACATATCTTCTAGTCTTAGCATGACAAGAATATTCCCACTCTGCTCAACTCTAAGCAATGTGAAACCAGCACCCAAACATGTAGCTACTTCAGTTGGTGGAAGCTCTTGAGAATTCTTTCAACTCTTTGAGCATCAGGATCTCATTGGCAATGCTGTAACATCAACACCTCTTGAATGTCTTTTCTTGCTTCACACAAAGCCCACCATCTAAGCATCCACCCACAGCAGCCTTCAAAGCATCACTTCAAAAATCCAAGCGTCACAACATGTAAGGTAACCATGGTATTATTTACTCCAAATCATTCTCGGCTGATCTTAGATGTGACCATTCTCTAGCTTTTGCAAGCTGTTATCTGTTGGAATAATTCATTATTTGCCATCTCCCTGCTTTTGATAGGTAATTTAGCAGTCATTCGTGGAAAATCTGGTGTGAGAATTGGACCAAATGAAAGCACAAAACACTTCACATCTGATGTTTGTAACAGGGACATTTGCATAATTTCTCGCTATTAGGACATGTCACCATTACTCATTTCACACCATATACTGCATCTGAACCCTGGATGATTATATAGTTCTACATTCAATATTTTTAACCCAAGTCCCTTCTCCGTTGTCCTCCACAGGCGGTAGACTATGAGAGCCGGAGCTCCTACTCCTTCTCTGTGGAGGTCCTCAACCCCATAGTGGATCCGCGTTTCTTGCGTCGAGGCCCCTTCAAAGACCGGGCCTCCATCAGAGTAGCAGTACTGGATGCAGATGAGCCCCCGAGATTCTCCCGAGCCCGATACCACATGGATGTGTCTGAAAACTGCCCACCGGCCTGCACAGTGGGCCGGGTCAGCGCTGTGGACCCTGATACTGGTCTTACCAATAATATAAGGTATAGCAGGTGGCTTCTGTCCTCATATAGCATATCATTTCAGTAGTACTGTTATATTTCCTTTACATTTAGTTGATAAAGAACCCCGTTCCCTTTGTGCCCTTTGTTATATCTCTTTACTGAGGATTGTGAACAGTCTGAATATTAAACTCTGACAATTTTCTGAGAGTTAGATTGCTACCTAACCTGGCTATTTTTTTTTTAATCCTCAACAGGATATAGCTAATGTGAAAATTAGTGAGCTCTAGAGTTGCTGGTTGGTGGGATTTGTTACCTTTAGACAGAGGCTAAAGCTATTTTGTTAGTTTTATTTTGTTTGCTAGTTTCCAGTCTTTGTGCTAAGCTAAGCTAACCAACCCAAAATGTTCCTTTAAGAATTCACTGTTTATGAACTCATGATACTGTTTTTATCTACAGCACAGGAATTTCACTTTTAAAAGTGGTGCTGAGAGTCATATTTTTTAGTTTATTGTATGTTTTAGAGGATGGAATTTGTTTGTTTTTTATATTGATTGTCAGGCAGAAAAAAAAATGTAAACAAGGGATATATATTGTTTTTTGGATTGTAACTTCAACAACAGTAAGAGCTAACCAAATAAATGTAAGCCAACCAAATGCCCACTCAGTGTTCCCTAGAGCAGACAGTTACCACACACATTCGCAGTAGGTTTTGTCTCAAATAGTTTGAGGAGGGAGGCGAGTGATTTGTCTCTAACAACCACGGCAAGCCATGTCCCAATTAGCACCGGCAAAAGTGCTAAGAGTAAGTGTGTGGGGAGGAATGATAGTTGGTATATTCATAGAGATATTCAGATAATCGGTGGCACTTCAAAAGAGCTCCTATCAGTTGCGATAATCTCCCTATATTAATTCTTTGGCCATTTGAATGCAGACTTCCTTATCGCTCCCTCACACACATGCCCTGTCTGCCTCTTTCAGTCTGCACCCCACTGCCATCTCTGCTTGCTTCCTCCCTTCACTCTTTCTTTCTTTACTCCCTAGCCACGTTCACCTTCCTTCTCTCAACACAACTATCTTTCTCCTCCCACCCTTTTTTCTCTTTTCCAGGTTCTCCATTGATCCTCAGTCAGACCCAGAGGCTCTGTTCCGTATCACCCCAGACACCGGCCTCATTACCACAGCCATGGAACTGGACCGGGAACGAGAGCATTGGCACAACATTACTGTCATCGCCACCCAGAGAGGTCAGACGGCACTCTTTGAACTCCTCTTAACACTAAGACCTTATTAGAGCTTGTCCATTTGATTATGTCTTTTATTTGGAGCTAAGTCTCATCAATGAAACCAGCGTTTTACCACCACTGACACCTGCACCCACTGATGAGCATGAGGCTGTAAGAGGTTTAAGGAAGTGTAAACTGTAAATTGTACGGTATCTGAAAAGCACAGTATCCAGTGTGTGATGCACTTCACTAAGCAGCTTAGCACTCGAATCATCAAGCTATGAGGGGAATGCTGTTTGGCGCCACAAATAGTTTGTTACAGCGTGCCCGAGAATCAATTGATCTATACTGTGTGAGTTATCTGATGCTGCAATGGATCTGTTCTCATAAGGATTCAACTGGAAAGAAAGAATTAGAGCAACAAATCGAACACAGCCATTACTTTACAGGCACACCGTGGTTGCAAAGGAGAACGGTAAACACCTTCCCGTTTCCAAGCAAGGATACCCAATTTCAATAAACAGTGAGGCCCTTCACAGGTTATATTTCAATCAGGAAAGTTAACAAAAAAGCAGATAAAAGGACAATCACAAGGTCCCTTTTGTAGCTGGTATAGAGCTTTTAATCATGACCAAGGGGAAGTTGTTTTGTTAACTGCTGTATTTTCAAGGTCAGGAATGAACATTGAAACAAACAGCTACAGATGCTTTCTTTTAATACATCAAAAAACTTTGGTGTTGACACTGTCACACACATCAATCCATAGTGATTAAAACCTATCGGCCTTTTGGAGATCCCCCTTGAGAGTAATAGTTATGGCCTTGACACTGATGGTGGGGGGATGGTAGAGAGCATAGATAGTGCTGTGCGGTGACGGCATGAGAAACAGAACAGGTAATGTGGTTTGGTTTAAAGCATAAGCTTGGCAATATTGTATATATTTATTATTATCTACAAATGACATGAAAAGACCAAAGGTCCCTAACCTGTCTGTGGCACTCATCCTCAGGCTAATTTTTCCTATTGAAAAAGGGCTTATGGATATATAATTATTTTTTTCAAAACAGCTTAATAATTTCCTAAAACAGCTACGCACTGTAGTTTTTACCAAACATTACTAAACATTTGTTGGGGACTATTTTCCGCCATGGATTAATACATGTGTTGCTCTTGTGAGTATTCATGGTAGCAGGTGTAAGTGGGACTGACTCAAAATAAACTACAGTACCCATGTTCACAATATGAAAATAACATATCAACCAATGAAAATAAGATATATCAGACAGACACACAATACTGATAACAGGATCAATTTATTATTGATTTTGGTCTTTTTGTTGGATTTGTTGACAACAACACAAAATACAGAATATCAACAGCCGGGCTGTGTAATGCCAAGGATCTGGCAATACGAGACATATCACAATACAGGGGTTACAGTTCAATATACTATACGATACTGTAAGCAAGGCGATATATTGTGATTTTAAAAAAAATCACATTTTAGGAAAACTGGCATAGTATAGAGAACACACACACTATCTAAATGAAAACAGTGGGATCTGCATTTGTATCTATCACAGCCCCAGTAACATACAACCCACATCACTGCTATCTAACAGTTGGGGGATACAGTGTTTTTTAGAATCTATACAATATCCGAAATCAAAATATCGATATTTTCTTACACCCCTAATCAACAGATCACCAAACCAGGATCTTTCCTTAATCAATCAGTTTTTGTGCCTGAACCAAACCAAAAAGATCAGAAAACTGTCTTATTTAAATCATCTTAGTGGTCATTTGTGTTTTTGAAGGCACTGACAGATGTTCTGTTCTGTCTTCCTGCTGATAGGGGTGCCAGATCAGAAAATGCTCATATGGTTCATTTTGGAAGGCAATGACAACTTATTTTCTTGTTTAGTGTTTCATTTCAAATGAACACCAACCTCCTGCTGAAGTCTGGATTTGTTCTTATAGTCTTTTTTGGCAGGTGACAAGCTATTATTTGGATTTTCTCCCCAGACCTAAAAAACTCAATCAAACTGGATGGTGTGAAAGTATTGTTATTGTGCCTTGCATAAGCAAGCACAATACTACTCTCCCTCGGGCTTATTATATTTTATTCTTCCGTACGTTTTTCGGCGCGCTACTCCTCCCGGAGCTTTTGTCGCACGTACACAAGAAAGGTATCAAAACGTGCGGCTCGGCCGGGAATCGAGTGCTATGACTTTTCTAAGCGTTTCGCCAAACGGTTTGCCGGTAAATCGCCAAAAAACGGTAAAAAAAAATGAATGGGTGTGTATTGCGAGAACCTCAACTGAAAAAAACTGCCAGAGTGCGTGACATCATCGCTAGAGTGTGGGGAGAAGGGAAAAATTTGTCGAAAAATAAATTTGTAAACTGCTGTCATGGCCACAAATTTCACTCTACCGAAATAATTTATAGATAGAAACGTAGGTAAATCCGTTGGGGTCGCAGTGATACTACTGCTGAAGCTGTCAGACAAATAGTTTTGGCGGGAGACGCACTGATGCGCCAGCAACACCCTCTCACGGCCCCATCTACTCCCATGTTAATTTTAGAGGACAAATCTTGAAAAACGCTCGTTGAACCTCTTCTCTCTCAATCTGTCCAGGTCACATTTTTTAACTTTAACCACTGAAACTCGGCAGCGCTATAGTCAACAAGATGACGACGCTCACGGTCTTTTCGGTTTTCATTTCGGTCGTTCCTGGCCATGCTTTTGAGGGGATTCGTTTTAATTGTTTTCTGTCTCTCTGAGGAGTTAGAGACAGAGAGAGAGCGCGCGCAGCTGCTGTGGGCTCCCCTGATTGCCATGACAACCAAAGCCTGCTCACACACACACACACACACAGCTAGCTACAGAGAATGACAAGACATTAATAAGCTAGCGCTAGCTGGCTAGCTAAAGATAATTAGCAGGTGGCTAACAAGCAAACAATTTAAAGCTGAATGATTTTAATATTAACACAAAATAAGAACAATACACCTTAAATATTTTACCCTACTATGAGCTGTTACTTAATTTACATTAGCACTCCTTCAGGAGCATAATACAATTAAACACATTAACCAAAGCTAGCACTTAGTTAGCGATTAGCGCTTAGCTAGCGATTAGCATGTAGCTAGCGATTAGCGGTTAGCTAGCGATTAGCATGTAGCTAGCGATTAGCACGTAGCTAGCGATTAGCACGTAGCTAAGCACTAGCTTTGGTTTATGTGTTTATATGTGCTAGCTCTAGCTAACTAGCTAAAAAGAATGAGGTTATCAATATGCTATAGGAGGATTACATGGCATTAATAATCTAGCGCTAGCTGGCTAGCTAAAGATAATTAGCAGGTGGCTAATAAACAAACAATTTAAAGCTGAATGATTTTAATATTAACACAAAATAAGTTCAATACACCTTAAATATTTTACCCTACTATGAGCTGTTCCTTAACTTACATTAGCACTCCTTCAGGAGCATAATACAATTAAACACATTAACCAAAGTTAGCACTTAGCTAGCGATTAGCGGTTAGCACTTAGCTAGCGATTAGCGATTAGCACTTAGCTAGCGATTAGCGCAGACCTAGCGGTTAGCACGTAGACATGGTATTAACATATGGGCCAGAGCAAGGCACAATCAAAATTGCTTTAGGAATTTTCTAGTTAAACTTATTATTATTCTTCCGTACGCTTTTTCGGCGCGCTTCTTCTCCCGCAGCTTTTGTCGCACGTACACAAAAAAGGTATCAAAACGTGCGGCTCGATGAGGACATTAGTGCTATGACTTTTCTAAGAATTTCGCCAAACGGTTTGCCGATAAATCGCCAAAAACCGGTCCAAAAAATGAATGGGTGTGTATTGCGAGAACCTCCAACTGAAAAAAACTGCCAGAGTGCGTGACATCATCGCTAGAGTGTGGGGAGAGAGAAAAATTTGTCAAAAAATAAATTTGTAAACTGCTGTCATGGCCACAAATTTCACTCTACAGAAATAATTTATAGATAGAAACGTAGGTAAATCCGTTGGGGTCGCAGTGATACAACTGCTGAAGCTGTCAGACAAATAGTTTTGGCGGGAGATGCACTGATGCGCCAGCAACGCCCTCTCACGGCCCCATCTACTCCCATGTTAAAATGGAGAGGAGGATTCTTGAAAAACGCTTGTTGAACCTCTTCTCTCTCAATCTCCCCAGGTCACATTTTTAACTTTAGCCACTGAAACTCGGCAGTGCTATAGTCAACAAGATGACGACGCTCACGGTGTTTTCGGTTTTCATTTCGGTCGTTCCTGGCCATGCTTTTGAGGGGATTCGTTTTAATTGTTTTCTGTCTCTCTGAGGAGTTAGAGACAGAGAGAGAGCGCGCAGCTGCCGTGGGCTCCCTGATTGCCATGACAACCAAAGCCTGCTCACACACACACACACACACACACACACACACACACACACACACACAAGCTAGCTACAGAGAATGACAAGACATTATTAAGCTAGCGCTAGCTGGCTAGCTAAAGATAATTAGCAGGTGGCTAACAAACAAACAATTTAAAGCTGAATGATTTTAATATTAACACAAAATAAGTTCAATACACCTTAAATATTTTACCCTACTATGAGCTGTTCCTTAATTTACATTAGCACTCCTTCAGGAGCATAATACAATTAAACACATTAACCAAAGCTAGCACTTAGCTAGCGATTAGCGCTTAGCTAGCGATTAGCGGTTAGCTAGCGATTAGCACGTAGCTAGCGATTAGCGGTTAGCTAGCGATTAGCACGTAGCTAAGCGCTAGCTTTGGTTTATGTGTTTATGTGTGCTAGCTTTAGCTAGCTAGCTAAGGAAGGATGACAGGTTATCAATATGCTATAGGGAGGATTACATGGCATTAATAATCTAGCGCTAGCTGGCAAGCTAAAGATAATTAGCAGGTGGCTAACAAGCAAACAATTTAAAGCTGAATGATTTTAATATTAACACAAAATAAGTTAAATACACCTTAAATATTTTACCCTACTATGAGCTGTTACTTAATTTACATTAGCACTCCTTCAGGAGAATAATACAATTAAACACATTAACCACAGCTAGCACTTAGCTAGCAATTATCGGTTAGCACTTAGCTAGCGATTAGCGCAGAGCTAGCGATTAGCGGTTAAATAGCGGTTAGCACGTAGACATGGTATTAACATATGGGCCAGAGCAAGGCACAATCAAAATTGCTTTAGGAATTTTCTAGTTGTAGAATGCTGTCCAGTGGCCGCTGTGTGCAAGGAAGGGAAGTTGTTTTCCTGCCAAGTCTTGTTCTGGACAAAGTTAATCTTTACTTAAAATCTACTCAGGGCTCCTTGTGGCAGCAGTATTGGTTGGGCTGTGGAGGCAGCACAGTGAGTGCCTGTCTTGAATAATGAGCTCTATCTAATAAACAGACTGTCGGAGGCTGTGTTGACATAAAGCACAGTAGGAGCTCTGCCATGGCCACAGGCAGGCCAGCTCACCCAGTGGCATTACGGCAAGAGCTCATTTTCAGCTTTTCAGCGAAAGGAACCAGTCGCTGTCATCCATGACACAGTGTTACTGCTCTAGGTTTGAGAACATAGTGTGGGAGTGTGTGTGTGTGTGTGTGTGTCTTAGTTTACAGAAAGTGTGGCCCACTGTGTTGCAAGGTTGCCTGCTTAGATAAATGAGAAAGATGTATGCTTGTGAGCCTGGATTGTGTGAGCACTACACAAGAGCAGCCTAAAATGTAATGGTGAATGTTCAGCTCTCTGAGTGTGACTGTGTGCGTTTCAAGCGTCTCTGTGAGAACTTCATGTTTGAGTGTGTGTATATCCAAGTGAATGGGGTGTGGGAGACCCTTTGCCAATCCATTTAAACTGTGCCCTTGTGTAAGTGCATGCAGATTGACTGCTTTCTACATTCCTCCTCCGCTCCTTCACTCTCTCTTTCTTAAAACACACACACACACACACACACACACACACACACACACACACACACACACACTTGACGCTGTGAGATGCTTTGGCTAAGAATGGAACAGTTTGATGTGGAAAAATTTTACTGCTATGGAAGCATCAGTTGTACTCCAGCTGGGAGCCTGTGAGCTGTAACACAAGCCAAATGAAACCAAATGTACTTCTGTATATTTAGCCAATTGTGTGTTCGCTAATGTGATCTGAGTGCTGTTGAAGTTTTTGGACAAAGGACTGAAATGCTTGATCTCACCTATGAGGACAATTGAATGGATTTAATGGAGTGCAAATGTGCACCTGTGTGTGTGAACACACTGTTTGCTGCACTCCCAAATACATCTGTCTGCAGGCATCTTAAAGTGCTGTATTGTAAGCTGCTTGTTTCTGATTTTCTCTTTCAGACAATCCCAGCCAGGTGTCCAGAGTTGTGCTTGCAGTAGAGACATTAGATCTGAATGACAATGCACCAGAACTGGACAGACAATATACAACGGCATTGTGCGACTCATCCTCCATCGGACAGGTCAGTATGTGTTTCAGTGACCTGATGTCACTGCATTTGTCTGCATGAACAGTTCTGTCCTGACACTACAATGTAAAGTCCTTATGTGTAAAAAAATATTTTTAATAGCATCTTTACAGCATCTTTAATTGTTATGCTGGAACAAGCTTTTGTTTGTATGAAAATGGGACAGTCCAGGGGAAATTGGTGCAGTGTATCAGTCCTTTACCAGTGCAGGAACATAACAAAACAGAATTTGACGTATAGCCATTGTCACAGTTTCTGCTTTTGTTTCCATGCTGTTCCTCTGCCTTGGGAACTTGGGGACAAGTTCCTGGAACTAAATTTTGGCATTGTTCATGTGGTGATACTACATGCAAAATCCAGATACTTTCAAAGGTTGTCGGCAGTGTAAAAGATTGTAATTTGTCAAGAAGAGAAACATGTTCTGAAGCCTCATAAGGTTCTTAAAAAGTTCAGGTTATGGGATGCCCTAGAGCAGAGGTTTTCTAAGTGGGAGACGGGCCCCAGAGGGGGGCTCCAAACTGTTTTAGGCTAGGTTCAGTGAATGGAAGTCAAAAACAGTTACATCAGTTATTACATTAGTTATCAAAAGGAGATCACATAGAATGGCCTAAATGTGTGTGATCTGGTTAAAGACATAGTTCAGAGATACAGTAGTTTTGGGTATATTTAACTGTTTAGTTACGCTAGTGGGGCGATTCAATGCTTGTGTCTGTCAGTCAGTTCACCACTTTCATCCAGGAACAACTATAGGAAGGATTGTCATGAGACTTTCATTCAGTCCCCAGAGGATAAACCTTAAAGACGTTAATGATCCCCTGACTTTCCCTTTAGCGCCACCATGAACAGTACCTGAAATGGTAGTGGAGTACCAGCACTTGTGATTTTTGTCCACATGAGTACCCTTACATCTTATCACCACCTCCTGGTGAGTCTAGGTTTGCACTCCTAAACAACCGCATAATGGCAGATTTTTTTTTTCCCCTCTTGGCAACCGCAAAGACCCGCCCTACTCTGCCTTTGACAGGCTAGTGTTTGTTGGGTTTGTTGGTTTGGTTAGTGTCAATCGTTGGCAATCCAAGGTAGCGAATGGGGCGGATCTCTGAGGAAATATTGGTGGGAACAATATGTCCTTGTTAAAATGGATAAAAAGCTAAAAGCATTTGGGTTAGGGTTATATTGTTAGGGGTAAAGGTTGTGCTGAAATAGGCTAATATCACGTTTTTGGGTCCAATTCAGGCACTGACCATGAGGATATACATTTGTGGCTTTCAGTGAAATATCTCTACAGCTATTGGAGTAACTGCCATGAAATGTCTTACACACATTTAAGTCCTCCCTTAGGATGAACTGTTATAACTTGAGTGACTCCCTTACTTTTCACGCAGTGCCATCGTCAGGTTAAGTTTTGGATCTGACCAATACTAATCAGAAAATCGTAGCATGCTAACAGGCTATGCTGATATGCCAATAAAATGTTTTTTCTTGTTTTGTATGTCATGCATAAACCATATATTATGATGTACTAAGGTACTTGCATAAAATAACATGTACAAATATTCATAATCAATCTGGATGTTCATGTTACTACAACATGGCCGATCTGTGAACTCTTTATTTTGTCAGACAAGGAGTCAGGAACGAGATCCACGCTGTTAGTTGTCAAGCGTCATATTTATTTATTTCAAACAGTGATGTCTCCTATAAAGAAACATACAGTACAGTGCCTTCAAAACTGTTTCAAGTAAGGCAGCATATTATTCAAAGCCATGCGGATTCAAGTATAGGAGCATATACAGTGCCATGGTACTAATCTGTTCAGATATGGCAGCATACAGCTACAGAGTGCCCATTCACCATGTAGGCAGGTGAATCCTCCATGGCCCGTTATCAGAACGCAGCAGCTATTCACATTGTAATTAAACACGAGTCTCCTCTCAGATCGGCTCCCTCGTTCCTGCCATCCGTCTTGCTTTATTTGTGTTCCTGTCTATTTTTCTGCATCATGGTGCTCTTACTCGATCCTATCTCAATTATAGAAATCATCTCAGTGCTCCTCAATCCCTCCCTGGAAACCATCCCTTGCTCTCTTTTTTGTTTCTCTCCTCCATCCTCAGTATTCCATGCTGGCTCCACCGCCATAATTTGGTATCTTGGCCCATCTGTTGTTTTTGCTGGTGTTTTCATTGCTCTGCTTGTGTCTTTGTTTTCGCCACTAAATCTGTGATTCTGTGGCAACGGCGTTGGTTTGTTTTCGCCTGTGATGTTCATGTTTGTGTTTGTGTATATTGTTGTGTGAGTGAGCGGGAGACAGTTCAAGAAAGGAAGATTATGATATCTTCAAATGTGTTAGGGCTGTGTATGTACGCCTCTGTATGACAAGTCATTAGCCAAAACACGTTTGAATATTCACACACAGCCACTGATAACATTATGTGACTATACATAACAAATCTTCTCAAGGCCTAGAGACAGTGACTGGCTCAGAGAGCATGTAGCAGCCTTCATCCCTTACACTCGAAAGCATTTCTGAAAGGACGTCTTGCATAATGACGACCGGAGTTTTTCATTAAAAAGAAATTACCCATCAGATTAGACTGCGGGAGATATTTTTCTTAGATTAATTTGGTTACGATTGCCGCTGTATACTTGTGCAGATGCTATTACTAAATTGAAACCCACGCTGCACTGTATTTGTGAAAGGCGATTTATGTCAGGGGCAGTTATTTATTCGGCGTGAGTATCAGACACAGTTCACTTGTGTTTCTGTGCTAATTGTTTGGCTTGTTTTGATTCCTGCTGACGTCGGCTAATGGTTTGTAGCTAAAAGCACTCTCTGTGTAAGTGTTTCTCCCATTACCTTCCTTTCCTCTTCTCTTTGCTCTCTGCGCTTTCCCTCCCTCCACACACACACACACACACACACACACACACACACACATTCTCACCCTCCCTTCACCAAATCTCCTCTGCTTTCTCTATCTCTCTGTTTCAGGTGGTGCAGGTGTTGCGGGCGATTGATAGAGATGAGGGAGGGAATGACAGCACTGTGTATTTCAGCATCCCTCCAGAGTCCAGCGCTGCCCTCAACTTCAGCGTCAGGGACAGTGGTGGTAGGCACTCAATCTTTCCCTCTCTCTGTATATCTCTTAATTCCTTTTTTTGTTCCCTAGGCAGACACATATTGTTTTTTCCCCCACTTTTTTAAGGCTCTTAATCCCACATTTTCTTTCCGCCTTTCTCTTTCCCTCTTCATCTTTTCTCCTATTCTGTCTTTCTTTTACCCTCCTCTCAAACCCTCCTCCTCTTCTCCTCCCTCTACCTCCCCCTTCCCTTTTTCTGTCTCTGCCTCTCCCTTGTACCATCCATCTCCCAACTCTGGTGGCCACGTTGTTTTGCTTTGTTATCCTCCTCTCTTTTATTCGTCCCTCTTGTTTGCCTTCCCATATCCACTACATCCATCTTCCACCCCCACCCCGCACCCACCTCATATACTTACTGTTTCCAATGAAAAGCTTTTGAAGAAATCAGAGCTGCTTCATTTAATTCACTTCAACTCAACTGAATTAAGCTACTTAGTATTTGTTTCTGGTACATTCTCCATCTGCTTTCTTTACCCTTTCCTGCACAAATACACACACATGGAGTGCAATATACACTGACATACTCAACAATGTTCACACATGTTGGGCTTGTTGATTCAAGGAAGTCATGTACTCCTGATTATTTGCAACCCTAAGCATCAAATCATACATCTTAAGGGTCGTTTGTGCTTAGTAAAACAAGTTAGAATAAAAAAATGTTCTGCATACAACAACAAATATGTACTGTACCGTTATTGTTTGCAGTCAGTGTTTCACAACAAAACACGTGGTTTGTATCCTTAAGGCCTAACAAAGATGCATAATAAAACATAAAACATTTGCAAAGCTTAAGTTTTTTAATACTATGCTCTACAGTAGTACATTCCAGATTAAATCAGCAGCAGTCTTCTTCTTTTTTTAACCCTTTGCTCTTCTGCTGCACGCTTTGACGCATTACAGCCACGGACTGTCAGTGGAACAGCGTGAGGCTTACACCTTACATGTACTACATATTTGCATTCCTGCCCTCTGCAGCTGGCATAAATACATATTAAAACGTTGCTCCAACAGTGGAGACAGTGAACATACCTTTATTATTATGTCCAATTTACTTGGTTGAACTCATCTACCATGTCATATTAGCTAGATATGTCAGTATATCAAGCTGTAGTAAGACAATTTGTCCCAAATACAGTATATTCACTTCTAAAAAATGTTTTGCAAAAAAAAAAGCAGTATTTATTGGTTGTCTTGGCCACTGTGGGGCAACGCAGCAAAACACTACACTGACACATTTTCACCATAAAAAGTTGATATGGTGTGGTATACACATCCAGTAGCATTAGCATTTATCTGAAGTATTTCTGTTCATCTGACCAGTGTTGGATATTCAATGTCCTATTAGCTTTGTTTGGGTCTTCACCTTGCAGATAAATTCTCCACTATGTCTGTCTGCTGTTCGGTGCTGAGCAGGTAGCGTAGCCTAAAGGGTTTATCAGAGCTTTTCACTGAATATATATCCTGTGTTATATCGTAACTGTCTACTGAAGATATTTTTTTCTGATATCTAACATCTGATAGTCATATTCAACAGGATGATTTGCAAAATTCCATTAGCTGGGGAGCTAAGTACTGATTGGCTATCGCTTGCGCCATTGGCCTGCTAATTGTTCCTAAACTTGGCAAAACCACGAGGAGCGAACCTGCTCTGGTTGGACTGTGGATCAGGAGGATAAAGTCGCTGACATGTGGAATCAAAGGCCTCTTTGATGTGTCATCCAACAGAAGAACAGAGAAAAAAAAGGGCATGTTCTGTTCTCGTATGGACAGCTTGTCTTTGTTAAAAAAGATAATGATTTGATCTGTGATTTGGATCAGAGAGGATAATTGAGACATGTTTATATGACTTTGCAGTGCCTTTCATGCTTATTAAATATTTTCCACTCTATGTTCATGTGCCCTCTTTTATGTGGCCTTATTTTTTGTAGCCTTGTGCATTTCATTTTGAAGAAATCTAAAAATAACTTCTACACAGACACTTCACTGCTCTTTTGCCCAAAAGTAAGAGGAGATGGACCAATAAAGGGCCATTAGCTCTTGCGTAGTTGCTGCTCTCTGTCCTAAATTGTTTTATGTGAGCCAATTGCAAAAAACTGAAAGATATGTGGCCTTTTGATGAGTTCTATACATAAAAACATTTAAGCATTGTGCGAAACTTGATGCTTTAGATGTACAGTCTCTGTTCCGCCCATACTATATTATTATTTACTGGCACTGTAGGTCAGGTAAAGTGTGAACCAGCAGGTATGATAGTCTTTGTATTGAAAAATACTCCTAGCCAAATGGACATAAAGGCAGTCGTTTTGCATGTGAAAGTATCTAAGATTTTATGTTTTGTATTCAGTTGGGAGCCATTAATCATGAAGAGTGGCTGCAGTTAAGAGTATGATACCCTAATTGAGACTCTACAGCATATTCACCCTGTTTACCCAAATTAGTATCATTGTTATTCTGGTGTAAGACATTGTAGCTTCAGTGGTAGGGAAAATGTTCTCAAATGAGGAAGATGAACTCCAAAGTTAGATCTTTCTCATTCCGTTGTGGTACAAATCAATCACCAATTGATTGGAACCATAAATTTGCAAACATGAGCGTCAAGTTTGTGGATAATTTCACCATTGAAACGTCCGGCTGCCAATCAGCACAAGCTCAAATTAGAAATTGCACCATGCAGTTAACAATGGATGAATGATCTTCCTCTCTGTCTTCCTTCAGGTCCCACAGCCAGCCTGGTGCTGCTGTCCCAGCTCCAGCCGCTGTCCCGCTCTGCATCCTCTACCCTGACACTCTACGTGCCGCTGGTCCTAAGGGACGGCACATCAGGCCTCACCAGCACCGGGACGGTCACAGTGTCCGTCTGTCCCTGCCTGAGAGGAGGGGCACGGGCCGGGGAGAAAGAGAAGGACAAACAGACCGAGGGCGAATGGGACTGGGAAAGAGAGGCAGTGTGTCTCCCTCAGCAGTCCACACTGCCTTCCCCTGGGCTCAGTACCGCCGCCTTGCTGGCTATCCTGGCTTGTGTTGCTACGCTACTGGGTAAGTAGTCACCATAAGACAATAACAACAGTAGAAAAAATTGTAATATAAATATTTTTTGTCCATTTAAAGACCCTTACTTATACAACCTATATCATGTTACTATAGAGCATAGTATTATTTATACAGTAAAGTTATATCATTAAGATTTCCTACATGTAAAAGAGGTTAATGCTAATCTACAAATAAAAAGTAAATAGTGTTCAGGGCTGTTTACCCTCCACTACATCCCTGGATGCTTAATCTGCATATGAAAATAATGAAAGCAGCAGCGTAAATATTTCTCTTAGTCACAGCTGCTCAATAGCGGGGGTTTACTTTTCCTCGCAATTTTGGTCCAGTTATCCCCTCTGGCAAGGTCAGCACTAATCACTCCTAAAATAACAATTCTGAGTGATTATCTGGGCCCTCCGGTTTTTGATAGCAGCATAATAAAATGTCACTGCCACCTTTGCAGAAACTCAAATGCTCAATTGGATAATGTCTAGGTGCTGAGAAGGCTTTGGCTCGTGGCCAGCATCATTGTCATTTCTATTCAGTCTGTTGGATCACTACTCATGCCGTGTTGATAGGGGCATTATCATTCTGGAAGAGACCAGTTCAATCAAGAAAGAAACGCAACACGGCGTGAAGGTGATCGTGCAGCGTGCTTTTGGCGGAGTTTAGAATTTAGTTCACTAAGTGGCAAGGGCACCCGGAAATTCACACAGCGTTAGAGCATTCACCTCAAGTTTGTAGCTTTAAAATAGGGCTAGAGATTGGTTCCAGCACAATTTAGTTTTTCTTGTCTATAAGAGGTCCATGCTAATCCCGAACTGGGCCCTCCACAAAATGCCAAATGTTCTTACAGAAGCTTTGACAACAGCTCCATCAGGATCCCATCTGGTTATTAAAAAGGGGCTTGGCATACATAAGGCGGATATCAAGCCATTTGGTAACCACTCTTCATGCGAGCCTGCTTTATAGAGGCTCCTTTGAAGAGAGAGAAATACATATTTGTCATGGCTTGAAGGTGATCCCTCAAATTGATATGAAAGATTAGAGTTTTCCCACTCCTTTCAGGGATCATTAGATTAGTTCAATGGAAATCAAATAATGCAACCTCCAACAATATTAGGCTCTAGATTTACTGCTGCAGCTTAACCACATCCACAGAGAGAAGCTGGCATGCACAGTATATGCGCACAGTATGCACATACACCAAGACATACAAATAGAGGTATTTCAACCTGGCTATAGCTATAACTATAGCTTACTAACTACAGACATACACAAGCATTACTTCCAAAGGCAAGGCAAATGTCATTAGCTATCCACGTTATTTTGTGGGGCTGTAAGTTTCTGTGGAAGAACTGGAACATCCACCCATTAGGAACCAAGATGCTAGTATATCATACTGATGCCGCCACCTGAAATTTCTGGCTGGTCCATGACAGGTCCATGCTTATCTGAATGGAATGGATGGATATATCCGGCTGGCAGCTGGTTACCCGGGCTGTTATGGATTGCGTCCAGTATTTTGGTCCCATGAAAACCTGGAGTCAAGTACAAGTATTCCCTACATTCCCTATAACTATATAAAAGTAGATTTAAACATAATAAACGTATTGAGTTTAACAAAAGTTCTTGTCAAATCGTAGACCAAATGCTTCTGGGTGGACTATCACAGGTAGCCTTGTAGGACAACTGTCGAGGAGCCACCATAGCTTGGTTCTTTCCCTGCAGCCAGGGGTCAAATGTAGCTCTCTGCTTTGGGATAATGTGGAATAAGAATCATGAAGCCATAGGAGAGTACAGCGTCCATTTGCCTGGCTGGAGCTCAAAGTCAATTACACAGTGGAGGCATGCATCCTGCTGATATGATATACCAGCCCTCTAACCCAAGGCTTGGTCTGTATTTCTATTGTCTCTGTGTGCCTCACCTCTTTGTCTGCCTTAAATTTTCTCCCTTGCTCACTCTTCCTCCTTCCCTTTATTTCCCCTGTGACTTCTGCCCCCTTCTCCCTTGTTCTTCATTCTTTTTCCAATTTCTGTCCTATGCCTCAATATTCTCTATTCCTGCTGCCACCCCTCTGCAGCGGTGAGTGCCCTGTCATTGTCGCTGCGCCGTCAGAAGCGTGACTCCCTGTCACCGCTGGAGGAGGACGACGTACGTGAGAACATCATAACGTATGATGACGAGGGCGGGGGCGAGGCCGACACTGCTGCCTTTGACATTGCCGCGCTCCAGAGTGCACCGCACAGCTCGCGCTCACGTGGCTATCGCACACTAGACAGCAGGAATGTGTAAGTAGGCGTGGGAGAGTTTGTTTCCATGTGGCCATACATATACAACACTTGTTGTCTAATTTCATCAAACCACATGGCTGGCCTCTTGTTACACGTTAAAAGGAAGTCAGGGAGGAAACAAGTACCCCTTCAGAGTAAAAGCTTTATCTCAGTCCAGCACTCAATTGATCAACTTAAGGAACTGATCAAGCCGTACCTCCCAGGTCATATTAAGGCACCGATCAAAATGCTGAGACAGAAGGCTATCAAGCTTTGCAGTCCTCGGAGACCACTTTGTTGTGCTCATTTTGTTAAAGCTCGTTTATGTTCTGCTACATCAGAGAGTGGTTCGCACCCACTTTGATGTCTTTCTGTGAAAAATTGTTATTGCCTTTGGACTAATAATTAGCTCAGATGAATTCACGCAAGCCATATGGGGAGGCCATAAACAAGTACAAAGGCTGCTTTTAGTTTATCGAAAATTGCTTCTCTCAATTTATGGAGGTGGACACAACAACATGGGAAACCTTCTAAATTCTAATGCAATCCACTGCAATATCCCTGCAATAAATACTACCTTTGTGAAGTTTTTATTTTTGTTGACACTGTGTCACGGAGGAGTGGATAGTTAAACTTTATGGTAACTTTGAAGCTGTAGTTTGTGGTTCTGTTGTACAGCATATCCACCAAATTTACTCTTGAATTTCTGTTAGCTTGTCATGGGGAGTAATAACAGTCCTGTTATGTCTTCTGTGGCTCTGGAGGGAGCTTTCTTAAGTCTGTGAAAGTAACCCTGATGATGTTTCCAGGGTTATCTTGGATTGGGCTTGGATACTACACATTTTTAACAGCGTGCATCAAAAAAGTCAGGATATCTTGGCCTCGGCTTCCTGAACTTTGACTGTCTGACTTCGTCTGAATTCTATCTACAGAAGTCCTTACCTAACCTTATGCAAGTGAAAACTATATCACTGGACCCCGTTAATGTTATTAGGCACACCTGGGTGTGCAAAAAAAGAAATACCCTACAATGTGGATATATTGCTACACAGTACAACATCATAAACCATGGTTTCAAAAATGCAGTCAAAACCAGAAATAATGTCCTGGTGTGTGTGGCACCAGGACACATTATCACACCAGAGACCTTTCTTTCCTGTCACTGACTTTTGTTCACCGGCAAGTAAAGTAAATATGGCATTTACCTGACTAAGTTAAATGGGGATTTTGCCTTGTGTCTTGCAGACGTTATGCCCAGCGTAGCCAAGAAAAAGCTCGCACCTATAGCTGGGCTCAGAATCCGGGTGTGGATCACAACTACACAGGACCAGGAGGACCTCTCTATGGTCGCCTCTGTTACAGCAGCCACACGTTACCTGTTCTCCGTCGCACACCAGGGGGAACATTTGAACCAGGCCTGGCAGAGCTGGGATACCGCTTTCCTGGAGGCCAGCCAGACCACTCTCTGGTAATCCAGAACCAAGGGGCCATGGTTGGGCCAATGGAGTCTGGGGCGGTGTACATAGCTCCCACAGACCTCAGCACGGGAAGCCGAACGGGGAGTCGTACAGGAAGCCGCGACGGGACTGCACCCCAGAGTGGGGTAAGCACGTCAGATGGAGGAACACCCAGGACCAGTGACAGCCAGGAGAGAGGAGGGGGGGCAGGAACTGCAAGCAACTGTACAGATGGGAGCAATGAGGACAAGATGAACCACAGTCAAGATGTGGACTGGGTAAGGATTACAGTGACCCCACTTTTACACCAAACGTGCAATTTCGGATCACAGTTCAGCTTTGAGTTAATCCTAAATATGCCACCTGTGTCCAGTGGCATTCTCACATGTATAATAGGCAGGAATTATAACGCCTCCAATTTTGATGTAGAGAAAAATAGAGTCAATAATTTGGTGCACTGTAAATTCAAGGATTTATGTAATTCTACTCCTCAATCCAGTCTACCCGGTCCCCAGAGAGATAATGGAGGATGCCAGGTTAGAAGATTAATGTTGTTATTTTCCACATAGCAATGTTGTCTGTAGCATCCAAGTTAGCCGTTTGGTAGGACGTACTATAATGCTTTAGATAATGACGTCCTTCAATCTACATTGTGCAAATGATATGTACATGCACATTTGGTGTGAAACTGGAATATGAATGAATTGATAATCCTTTAAGTTCTGTACTGTAACACAGTTCAATACATGGATGGATGGATGGATGTATGGATGGATGGATGGCTTAATGTTTCAGCAAGCAGGAAAAGTGATAGATGTCGCATAGAATAATAATTATGAATTAAAATTGAATAAATGACTTAATTAATGATAGATGGCTGCATTGGCGAAAGTATTAAAGATGAATGAATTACTTAATTATTCAATTAAATGAGCAAATGAGTAAGTAAGAAAGTAATTAAGCAAATATAAAATAATTATTAAGTTTGCTTTCAACCTCATGTACTGTATTATTGCAGTGATTGCAACACTATAATATTTTTAATCTCTCCACGGTAGCAGAAATGTCCAGGACAATGTTTGGGGAAGATGATGATTCAGACATATCAGCACATTTATATCCTGCTGTTCATTATCTTTTCTATGTTTTGTTTTATTTATTAGGCCATTGCAAGGCTCTCTGGCCCTTCCTTTATTTAATTTTCAAATATTTTATCTCTCGATCACTCCCCTCTCCATTCCCCTCTCACAGTGCAGTGTTAGCTCATTTTAGTGTCCAATTAATATCTATGGCTTCTTCCAACTCTGCTTTTCCTCCACTCTGTTCTGCTCAATGTCTGCCTCTCCTTCGTTTCTCAATCACTTTTTATCATCCCCCCCACCCCCCCCCCCCCTCCCCCACCTCTCTGCTTTTATTGTGCCTCTTATTAAATTATCCTTCATCCCATTTTTTCGTGTTGACCAAACCTAACAGTACCACACCCTACCCCAGCCCCGAACTGAAACCACTCGTGCTCGCCTACGTTCCCTCCAGGTGCAGTCGGAGACGTTACCCAGGGAGCATAACCTCGTCATGACCCGATCCGGCTCCATGATGGGCCAGGGTCACGGTGCAGGAGGCTGGGTGTGCGACTCGGCTACCCTCCCCATGGCAGGACGCAGGGCCTCCCGCGCCGGCTTGTCCCCAAAGCGCACAAGCTCTGGCCAGGCTGAAACTGACTCCAGTGGAGGAGGAGGAGGAGGAGGAGGAGGAGGAGGGGGAGGAGGAGGTGGAGGTGGAAATGGGGGCACCTCCACAGATGGCCAACAGCAAACTGCCAGTGGACGCAACTACGCCACTGTCCTGCAGGGGGAGGTATCTGGACAGAGGGACTACCCCGGCAGCTTGGGGAGAGGAGGACTGGAGATGGGGAGCAACTTTGTGGTGGCGAGGCCAGACAGGGAGGGCGGAGGGATATCATCTGTCTACCCAGAAGCAGCTGGCTTTATTGGGGACTGGCGTGATCGGGTGGGTCTCGGGGGGTATGTTTTGGGCAGGAGGGATATGACCCCCCAGCTTTTTCCCTTCCCGGGGCAGCCTCGGGGACCGTACGGCGGCGTGATGGGCTTCGGGGCCGGCTGGGTTCCAGGAATGGAGGCTGCGAGAGGAGCACCAGGGCCTGGGGGTCCCTCCTTGGCACTGAGGGTGGGTGAGTTCCTACGTCTGCGCCTTGCCCAGGTCACTTTTGACCCATCACAGCCACCGTACGACTCTGTGCAGGTGTACGGCCTGGAGGGCACAGGATCCCGGGCTGGATCCCTCAGTTCACTTGAGAGCGAAGGAGAGAAGGATGCAGAGAAGGAGGAGTGGGGTGCAGGGCTGGAAGAGTGGGGTCCACAGTTCCACAAATTAGCCCAACTTTTTAAAGACAGGGAGAAAGAGAGGGAAGAGAAGGATAAAGTTGAAGAGGGTGCCAAAAAGGAGAAGGAAAAGAAAGAAGAGCCAGAGAGGAAAGAGAAAAAAGAGGGAGTAGAGCAGGCTGGAGAAGAGGGGAAAGACTGAGGAAGGATAAAAATGAAACAGATAGGGGCAAAGGGGGTAAGAGAGGAACAGCGGGAATAGGAGGATGATGAAAAGGCAACCAGAGCTAGAATAATGTGAAGAGAAGTTAAAGGAGAGAAAGATGAAGAGGCAAAGTAATAAAAAGAGACAGAGAAAAATGAGCCTAGGGAGGATGGAGAATGCGAGGGCAGGGGAGGGAGTGATTGATGTAATTTAAAGCAATAAGTGTTGAAACGCTGATATGGTTGAGCACAGATACTGAGACAATGCAGAGGCTGCTTCTGCTCGGGGCAGCAACAATTTGTTAAACGCTTTGGACAAAGAAAAACAACCCAAACATCCAAGACTCGATTTAATTCAACTCTCACGTACGGAATAAGAAACAGCAGGAAACAAGAAGGAAGACGTTTCTGGTGGTGCGTGTTGGTCATCTCTTTGTGTCTGCATGCGTGTTTGTGTGTGGGAAAAGTCCATGAGGGAATATGGATGTGCGAGCAGGAGTGCACATACACACTTTTTGAGTGGATATGTGTGCATATTCAACAAAGGAGTGGCAGGGAGAAACCGCGACACCCAGAGACAATTTAAAGATGAGACTGATGACTGATGATACGCAAGCGGCAGCATTAGTTTTCAGGACAACGTGCAAGAGTAAACATTTAACAAGGAAGTTTATAAACTAGGATAACACACAGGGGATGAAATATAGTACAAAGTGAATGGGATGCGGGATGGATGTATAGAGAGAGAAATGGTCGGTGGAAGTTAGACGATTGTACAGAATCTGTTACTTTTTATTCCATCTGCAGTGGCAGAAAAGTGAATTATTCAGCTCACTACTTCATTCCAAATGAAAATGATGAATCATTTAAATCCTGCAAAAGATTCTCCCTCCTCTCAGCCCACAAGGAAAACAGACATTGTGAAAAATTTAAATGATTTAGGGATGCGATCCCCCACCCTCCGCACCCCTACTCTGTTACACCCCCCACACCACCCCCCACGCTTTTTGTAGTTGAGTGTTGGTATGTTTACAAAGATCCACACACAAACACACACACAGACACAAAAGAACTGATGAACATGAAGCTTTGATTGTACTACAGTAAATTATAAACACAAACCATCCACAAGTATTCCATCTGTTATATGGAGTAATGATGACTCTACTATTGATCTCTTAAATGTTTTTATGGAATAAGGCTCCTATTTTTTATGCCCCCTCCCCATATTCTCACTTGACATGTCTTGAGGACAAAGTATGCATGATTTTTGGAGACAACAAAAAACCTAAAAAGGCAATCAATTCCACTTTGAACACTCGTGCTGCCCAAATGAAACATTTCCATAGATCTGTAATGAAATTATAGGGGAACAACACCACAGAGACTCCCACGACAGGCTTTTTGTTCTTGTAAAAGGTCAGGATGCAAATGAGCTGGAGTTTTCAGCTGGAATGCACTTTTATACTGTGTGATGTTCAATAATAGATAATGAATAATGTCAAAGATTACAGTTGTTTTATAAGATGTCAATTAAAGAAGAAGATACAATGTTTGACTGTATGTAAAAGCATTTCAGATGTAAATACCACTAAATATTATTGCTAAAAGAGAGTATATAAAATGAAAAATTAGTAAAAAAAAAAAAAAAAAAGCAGAACTTACATGTCCAAATGGAGCACTGTTGGGACTATCTGTATGTACTGTAGATTAGAAATGGATTAACTGAGCTGGACTGAAAACATGTTTTCAACATCTGTGTAGTAAGTGAACAGGTTTGGGGTTGTTTTGTGGTAGCTCTCGTCTGAGATGGACAAGCCAAGGATTCAATTATACATGTGGCCTCTGGCTGAAGTTTGTTGTGCAAAATATTAGTTACAGGAAGACTCAGAACTTGCCTGTCCCAGCGTGGAACCAATTTGATGAAAATCCAATGGAGTGAGGAGAAATTCCCCTAACAGGCATACAACAAAAATTCTGCATTTTCCCAAAGATTTGGATTATTATTCTGAAAAAGTAGAATAATAAATATACCAAAATGGAGTTCAAGGACAGCTCTGTCATTAGTGTTGCACTGCCTGAGAGATATGAGACAAAGTTTTATAGATAAATACTTCTCTCTAGAAATATAATCAAATGTACATTTAAGAGTAAGATTTTTAATAATAAAAGTATGGGAAAGTGACTGTCCATCAGATTTAATCTTCATGCATTTCAGGCAATGCAACGACCATATTAATATTGCATTTTGCATATATCTTAAGTCAAACAAATTCTCTAATTTTGTGGAAAAATAACTAACACCCACAAATTTGTTGAATTTCTTGAGTCCAGAGGGGAATTTTGCCTCATACCCTAACCTGAATGTGGACGTCTTTGGTGTGCCATCGGAAAAGTGTCACCGTTTATCACTGGTTCACTGTAAAGCCACCCACATAAGTCAAGCTGCCAGCTTTGCTAGTGCCCACCAGTTTGGTCCACCATAATCTTGTTGTCGAAGTCTGCTACTGTCAACATATACTTAAGCAATCAGGAAGTCAGGCTTCACACTGACCGAAATGAAACCCATATACACCTCTGCACCCTTTACCTGAGCCACAGACTTGTCCATACAGTGCCACTGTGCAGACTGGATGGTATCAGGACCAATGTACAAATACTGCACAATAACTGGAGAAAAGTGGGGGGTACAGAACCTCAGGGGGGATCTGAGTTATCATTCTTTTTGGCTGATCAGCAATACCTCAATATCCGACAGCTACTTAATCCTTTCATCAGACATGTAACACTCAGTGGTCTATAGTGACAAAGCATAGGGGCTATTAGACACTTCACAGTAATATACTGTGTGCCAACCATAAAGGATACATTTGGTTTATTACAACTTGGGTCTTATTTTCATAGTTTATAATAGTAACAATAAGATTGTACTCTGCAAGTTAATTGCTGAGATCTGGGAAACTAACCTGACTGCGCCAGGTGTTTTGTTACAGAAAACCATCTGGGAAGTCATCATTGGGAAGTTGTTGTTGGGAACTGTTTGGCACTCTTTAAAGGGCAGGCACTTTCAAAAAATATTTGGCATGTGAATAAATGAACCATCTGTCTATCATTGTCTGTCACAGGAATAATCTGATCAACTTACTGAAGGGAACCTAGCGTTAAACCACGCCTGTAGCTCATGCTGTGGCTGCCAGTAGTTCCTCATAGGAGACTGATTGGTCTGTTACCACTGTGGTTGGACACAAGCGCATAGCTTGAAGCCTGGCAAGATGGATTCTCATGTGATCTCAGGATTTTGGGATCTTAGGAGTCCAGCTGCTTCGCAACATTACTTGGAAACATCGCTTTCAGGAACTCTGATCAGGTCAAACTTTGAATGATCGGTATGTGTGAGGGAGCAGTGTGAATAAGATCCACTGAAGACGAGAAAACATTTGCCTCACTCGCAGTCCATAAATGCGATTAATCCACGAGTTTGTGTTGATGGGTAGTTGTTAGCTAGCTGTCTAAACTGTGAAGGTTGTAACTGAAAGTGCAGACGTTCTTCTTCTACATCTTTGGCAATTACCAAATAGCTTTAGGTGCTTCAACACCAGCCTCTGGGTTGGAGTCTGTCAGACCTGTGGCCTGGGGAAACTATCCTGATTTATCTGGATACAAGACTTTTGAAATGACAAGTGCATATTGAGCCTTAGGGTATGTTGTCTTTTACACATAAACTGGTTCACATCATCTCACTAAACTACAGGATAAACTACAGTTTTGTCTTGTTTTCTGCCTACTGGGTTGTTTGTTTCTTGCCCTATCTGACTTTGTTGGAGCAATGTTGCCATCTTCCCTGTTCTCAGCAATTAGTCAGGTGTTCATAACTGATAAATTATTGTTAAAACTACAAAAACAAGACCCAGTTATAATTTAAACCTCATGTTATTAGAGTAAAATGTCAAACAATTTAGAATGGAAAGAATTAAATGATGTCTTGAATGAAAATTTCACTGGTACACCTAAAATGACTGCCAAAGAACTTGGAACAAATTTGTTATGAGAATAAGAATTGTTGTAAAGAGCACTAACGTGTTGCTTTGCCAATGCATCATCTGGGCAATGTTTTCCTTAGCATTTATGTGGAATGTGCCAACTTTCTGAGTCTCTCTGTCTCTCAACACACAAAAAAACCTATCCTCATTTTCATAACAGTATTGCCAATTCTCGAGCAGCCATTGCAAAAGCAATTAGCATGGTATACCAATAAGTGACCTTTCTTGCCATTCTAATTATATGGTTTATTCCACAGTCTTGATTGGCTCCAGGTGTTTCGTCTCTGCTGATTGGTCTAATTCAAAGTTCTGCTCCGGCTGATTGGTCAAAATCAAAGTGATGATTCTCTTGATTTGTCTTATTTCAGGGTTCTGGAGTGCTGCGCCGACTAAACCACTTGACGGAGCTGATTATCCCACCTCCTGAGCCCGGCAAATTGGTTCAATCAAAAGCGTGATTAGATGAATCAGTTGTTTTAAATAGAATAAAAGCCTGCAGCCGCGGCAGCACTCCACAGCCCCCTTTTCACTCTTTAAGCTAGCTTAGATGCAGCAACCCACAGTGACACACCTAAGTGGTCAAAGTGGTCCTGTCAGGCCATTTGTCAAGTCCTCAGTCAAAGAAATAACAACCCCAAATACACTGAGGGTGGGGAAGTCACACTCAGAGGATGAGAGCAGGTATCTTAGCATCTAGATATATTGATATGTAGCTTAAGGGTGCAGGTTAAAGGTCATGAGTCATCTTGACCCCAAACAGGTAGACCCCATCGGTTCTGTGCCCCCCAGTGACTTCATAGCTCCTGCACGATGTTGATACAATTCCACAATTGCGTGCTGAACAAAGTGTATTTATTTCTGTTGTACTTTTTCTTTTTGTAAATTTGAATAAAAAAGGAACTATTTCAAAGAGATGAGTCAGACCTGCTCTGTGCTCTTTTCTACTGTCTCCTGAATTTCTGGATAATCAGACTTCTGCTGCTTGCGTGTGCTTTCTGTGTGTGTGTGACAGAGGGAGAGAGGGACTGAGAGATGTGCTGTGCAGTGCATACAAATGTGTGCGCACCTTGTGAGCATGTATCTTGTTGTGAGTAGGTGGGTGTGCCTTGTCAAATTGGCCCCTTGAAATTTCCAAACCACAGACAGTGTGGGTGTGCCTGTGTGTGTGTGTGTGTGAGTGTCTGACTGCCAGATGAAGGAACACCTTGTCTGGTCTGATCTGGCCCGATGGGGGGATGTGAGGTCAGTAATAGAGGACAGACGGAGAGTTCTGCAGAGCAATCACGCTTTCAGACGGAGGGGAGAGTTCTCTCTGTTTGTTCCCCAGCAAAGGAAAAAAAAAGGACATTTTGAACTCCAGAGTAGCAGCGAATAGACCGGACCTGACAGCTGCGACCGAATAGTACAAGGCCCCTTTACCAGCCCTTGCAGCTCTCTTGTATTCTGCAGCCTTCGTCCCAGCTGAATGATGGATCGAGGAGATGTGCGCCATTGCTGTGTGACTGAATAGCTGGTTAAAAAGATTTATTACAATAATCAAATATGAAGGAGGGGATTATTTCTACATGATGGTTTAGAGAATGATCGTGTTAGCTGGGTCTCCGCTTGATTACAATGATAATACCCGCCTCAAGTCAGGAGAGGGAGAGAAACAGAGGGAGAGGGACGGGATAGAGAGAACCATATTAGCAGTTAATATGCAAGTCTGTTGGGTTAGATGAAAGTGTATTTGTGATTGTGTTAGAGCTGATTCGGCAGAGTGCTGAAGGAAAAGCCCTTGCCATATTTCATGTGTCTGTGCTTTCCCATAATTATGAGATTCATGGGGCTGACTTGACCCCTACGGAGGCAACATTCTGTATCTGAAGAGGATATAAAGTCAGTTGGAGCCAAGCTGATAAAACACACCAACTTGTAACCAACACAACATTCTTATCGATTTACGACTCTTATATGTACGTTTATCAGTCTGCCTCAAGCATCAACACCGCAATGCAGCATTCTAGGTGAGATGCGCTGTCATGGCACTGTCAATAATTACAGCATGCATAATTGATCATAGTATAATGGCAGAGCTGGAGATAAAATGGGCTCTGTTAAAGCCATACACCTGGGAATGACTGACTATACACTGGACCGGAGAGCTACATACACACTCAGTATGCTGCAGGATTGCATCACAGGACACAGGACTTAGTGTGTGTGTGTGTGTGTGTGTGTGTGTGTGTGTGTGTGTGTGAGAGAGAGAGAGAGAGAGAGAGAGAGAGAGAATTCAAGTACATGGAGTTTCCTCATTCTGTTTGAACCTTACTGACACAGAGAATCCCTCTGGCTATTCAGCACAGTGTTAGTGCTTGTGTGTGTGTGTGTGTGTGTGTGTGTGTGTGCCTGTGCATCTTTGCATTTCAAGTAAGTATAGGCTTTAAAGGCAGCTTCAAAACACAAGGAAAAGTGAGTTTCAACAGCCGTGGAACTGGAGGCGAGCGCAACTTCCTGCCCTGTAGTTAAACATCTAACAACCTCCTAAGTAACTTTTAACTCCACCTGTCCCAGTGGCTTTTATACCGGCCCATTCCTCTTCCTCGTCTCCTCTTGTCTTCCTTTCTTTCTTTCTTCTCGCGCTCTCTCGCTCATGCGTTTCACTCGGGATGCTCCAAGAGTTCACTGGCTCATTTGAAGTGGAAAATTAAATCTTCATTAACAATCTTAATTAGACTTCGATCTCCCCATAGCAAGCCGACAGGGAATCCATAGTGTAACGGGGGGAGACCTGGAGCAGGAGTTGGTTTCGGCACAGGTGGGAGAGGGGGGCGGGATTAGAGGGGGTAATTAGTGAGTGGAAACTTCAGGGTAAATTACACAAGAGGTATTTACACTTACAGAGGCAGGGGGGATGGATTGAGTAGGTGGATAATAAAAGTGCCCGCTGGTTGATGGCGGACACTGGAATGGTAGTCCAACATGTGTGAGGTGCATGATGGTGAGCTGCAGTTCTCATTTCTGCATTGTTGTCAAACTGGAGCTCAGCGGAATTGAGGGGAGGGGAGCGGAGGTTGAAGGGGACATTATTAGTCAGAAATCTTCATTGGAATTGCCTCTTGTCTTGCTTTTTGGTGACATGGTGTTACTTGAGGCGACATAATCCCTTATCATGCTTCCATAAGCATGGAGCATTTGCCTAATACCAGACAGTAATCATTCAAAGACACTGCTAAGCATGCAGCCCAATGCTCCCTCTCTTATCCACATTTACATACTACAGCACACTGTTTAGCTGCTGTGTGCAGGGATTGGGTGGTAAATAAAACAGTTGTGTTCCAGTACAATTAAACCGTGCACACTGTTCTTAAAAATGAAAGCAGGAAACTCACTTTTCTTGCAGCGCTTCTTCTTTTTAAGTCCTTTAGTGGGTGATGTCTTCTCTTGCTGCAGCTCTTTTGTAGTTAGCTATCCTATCACAAACCATCAAAATCCCTCTGCAGTCCTCTTTGTGGAGGCAATGAGCTGAGGAGAAGAGATTTTTGCCTGAGGGAAACCAGACAAGTTCAGCTTGCCCTTATTCTGTGACAAAAGCGGCAACCTGGCCTAAGTGAGACTGCATCTGCCCCCACAGTTTGTTTAGCTGTCCAGCTGCTGCTTTATTTGCAGAGAACATAGAGGTTCGTGGCTGCGGAATATTTCTAAACGCTGAGGACCAGGAGATAGTGTCTGGACCTTCGTTTTATTTATCTGCTCTGCTCGGTTTCCTGGGAGCTGAGCTGGTCGACTGCTCCGAGCAGGGTGATCATATCTGCCGTAATGTTGTTGTGGTGGCTCGAGACTCAGGAGAGTAGTCTGTGGATGAGTGTGTGTGTGTGTGTTGCGAGGTGACAGACTCTATTTACACAGCTGATCATTAGAGACAAAAAGAAAAAGAGAACATGATAACCAATTACAGACACACAAACAGGCAGAGAGAGAGAGAGAGAGTTAAGTACGTTCATTAGCCCTTTGTGTCAGATTGGTTAATTGTTCAATGAAGTGAGCAGAATAATAAGCTGAGGGGAATGTTATTGCCTTCAGTGAAATTGTTCATGAGGATTTATTCCCATCAGATGTGCCTCTTATTGTCCTACATAGATTATGGAGAAATGTTAACAGCTGAGGGCTGCAGAAAAGGCAGAGCCAGTGTTTGGTCAACTGCCCACTCACTAAACAGCAACAGACATTCAGACTGTGTGTGGCCATTAAGGATTCCCTTGTCGTTGTCCAACTCTATTTTTCTACGCAGCTCTAGACCCCTACCAAATGAAACCATATCTGTCCATTTGTTTTAGCTACATATAGTATCTTTATTTCAACAACAATAGTAAAGAATAAGTGAAGAAAAATACACCCACACACTGATTTTTCTTCTTCTTTTATCTTATCTTGACTCATTCATATTCAGAGGCTTTGATAATGTAGGGCAGCAAATAGAGCTGCCTATACAGTTGTGATCTCTTTGGTGATGATGTAATATGCTGCTCATTATTTCACTTATATATATTATATAACTTAATCCTCTCTTATTGGCATTATGCTTATTATATGGCATGTCTTTGCTGACTTGGCAATTTTCCTTTGCTTCTTCTAGGTCTCTGTGGTCAATGCATCTCCACATGTTATTGCCCATTATGTTACACCATCAATTACATGATCGATAATTCCTCCTTAATATTTAAAATATAACAAATTGTTTGGTATCTTACCATCATAAAAACATATTTAATAGAATGCAACATAATAAATCATCTTGCTAAGAAGAATATTAATCAGAATGAAGACACTTATTTATCAGCTTTTTCCAGCTCTTCACTGAAGCTGAGTGAAATATTTTCTCCCTAACCCCCATGGTTTTTATGCCTACCGCATTTATAATCAAATGGAAATATGTGTTACGAACAATTTTATACTAATTTCCACAAAATTCAACTTGACTTAAGTGGTTTCTTTGAGAACTTTGATCACTAGATTTTAAATTTACAGTGATGGTTGCTTCTTGGGTTCAAAAAATAATTTTGACACTAAAAATTAAAATTCAAAATATTAATAATTGAACTTGGGTACTTTCAATCATTACTCTTTATAGAGTACTGACTGAAAGTACACAAGTAACCAAAAGCGCTCAGTGATAATAAATTGACAATGCAATAGTAAAAATACAGAGAAGATTTAGACATTATAAAAAGGTTTAATTTAGTGGCATCTAGTGGTGGTGTTGCAGATTGCGACTCCCTTGCTTCACCCTCCCCTTCCAAGCACAAAAGAGAACAGCCAGTGTTTGGTCGGTCATTCAGGGCTACTGTAGAAACATGGCTGATCAACATGGCGGCCTCAGCAGAAGGCAGCATCTTTAGATGACGTCTCCGTCTAAGGTAACAAGAACATAACGATTTTTACTTTCAGGTGATTATACATTAATGAAAACATACCTATGAATATTATGTTCTATTTCTGCCAATAGATCCTTCTAAATGTTACACACTGAACCTTTAATCTTTACAAAGATACAGTCTGAAGGGCATGCAGAGCAACTTTACACCCTCTAAAAATCATTTTTTGCTGACTGTTCACCTTCCTGCAGTGATGTAGAATTGCATCATGACATCACTGCATGGTGTGTTTACAGGTACAGGAGAGCACACTTCTAACCACATCTATCAGTGATGTTCAGTCAGAGGTGCAACAGACTTCAAAATTTCAATCAGAAAAGGCTGTTGAAACACCACTTTACAGCCTGGTATTACTGGAGGCTCTCCTGTGTGTGTGCATCCAGGCTTGTTAAGGCCTGCTAGGCATCACACTGTTTCATGACAATTTCAATAATAGACCAACTCCAATCGGCTGTGTTCTAGTAAATGAGGGCCATCTTATTGGAGCACCCACAGT